TCTGTATTTAAAAACGTTGGTGAAAGTCTAAAAATAATAATTCAATTATCAGCGTTTTACTAGAAAAGCGCTAGTAATTCTTACGTCGGTGGGCCTCTACCAATGTTTTAGCATTTTTGTGCTTTTTTAAAAAACGCGGACAAATACCCTATACCAGCACTTTTTTAAGAAACATTGGTAAAGGATCATTTTATAACGCTGGTAAAGGATCATTTTATATATATATATTTTTCCTCATTACCAACGATTCTTAAGAAAATGCTGGTAAAGGGCCATTATATATATATATATATATATATATATATATATATATATATATATATATATATATATTATAAATAACCTATTGTTTGTTGCCTTTATATTTGTTTATTTGTTTAATGAACATTTGTTTATTGCCAATATGTATTTGTGACTGGAATAGATGCAAATTAGACCATATGATCGATCAAATATTGCAACTCTTATAAAGCATACAACTCTTAAGATCACAACCAACACGTACGACTCCCTAATTCACAAGAAACAAATACAACTCCATAATTCCACCTTCAAACATTCATAAAGCATACACAGTCAGCCTTCTTGAACAAGTGGTAAAAAGTGAATGATTAAAATGACTCATAATTTTTATAAATAATGGTAAAAAGTTCATGAATCCAACATTTTCAAAAGCACGCCTTATAAAACAAGTGGATCATATGGCGTTGATAAAATAGCCTCAGAGAACCAAGGAGGGTTGCACCATTGGTGAAGGCCTCCCTGTCTGCTCGAGTATAAGTGACCAGGAGGTAAGTAGACCATCCATACTTGTGTTTGAATTCCACGCTCTTTGTTACAATTGCATTACCTTTTTAATTGATGTATGTTAAAATTATAACTTGAATTGATGAGTCAAGCTTTGGATTGATGAAATATACTACACCTAGTTTAATTGTCATTAAGTAGGTAATTCAAGCTTGAAATTGATGATTCATACTTTTCTTTGCAAATGTTAGCTACATTAGAATTACATTTAATTATTTCCCCAATTAGTGAAAGTTAGTGAGTTAGGGAATGTGCTTAGTAGTGAATCCTACACCCTAAGTCTCTTTCTAATCTTTTAAACTCCATTATTTTATTGCAGTTACTTAAGTTAAATTAGTTCTAATCACAAAACAAAACCCTTTTTAGCGATCACATAAGCACTAAAGTAGAATTCAATTCTAAAAACCTATAATTGTTTAGATCTCTTGGGACGATCCTTACTCACTTCATACTCCATAGTATAAGTGTTTAGTGGTTTATAAATTATAAAATATGATGCCCACTTGACATTATTTCTAAACCTAAAGTGTTGTGCATTATTTTGTGCACACGCTCGGTCGCATCAATACGGTTCCTTAGACCGTGCCAGAAAACCCAAAATACACATCTACAACCCATAGACTACATTTGTGACTCAAACAACCTCTGTCACGCCTACCACGACCGGTTCAAAAAGAACCTCCGCACCAAACTGTAACCTAAGTCATAAACACTAACTCCTAAAGTCCTATGTACCTCACGAAAACCTCACATAACACACTTGATCTTTCCGGTCACAAAACCCATACACCGATGCATGAAATTCATACATAACAAAGACATCATACCATGAAATATGAACCCGTTCTAAAGTCATGCTCTAAGCACCACACAAAATGCGACAAGAAAATTAGGATGACTACACACCAAATAGCTCAATCCACGAGTTAGAAGTCTACACCCTTTGTTTGATAAGAACCAGCACCCAAACAACCCTGAAGCAACCGAGCTCCTCGCCTACTCAGGTCAAAACCCACATAACCATTCATGCCGCAACAAGTACTCTATCGTACCCCATACCATAATACACTCGTCTCCATTCATTTAAAATTTAAACACCCCGTCTTCCCTTTTTTAAAAAATACTTGTATAAACCATACCTAAATAACTATCACAATAGCATACGAAACATTTTTGCACCTACCGTGCTCACTACTTGCCACATTATCATTTAAAATAAAATTGCACACAACGTGCCTACCACTTACCGTTACCATCTAAATCACACTTGCCATCTTATCATAATTAATATGGTTTCAATCATTTATACATTTCATCGACATAGCCATGTAACACACATTTTAGCAATTAAACACATAAGCATGTGGACACTTAGCAAATAAATATGCCCTTTTAAAACCATAAATATATAAGCAAGTAACAAGTAGGCATGCTTCTTAAAACAGTAAACACGTAAACACAAGCACACAATCAATGCAAGTTAACCTTTTACCCATCTAGGTAAGCCATTACCCATTGTCCTAAAGGTTTTCGAATCTAAAGCTCTGATACCAAATTTATAACGACTCTTGCCCAGGGGTTCGAATCGCTAACCGGGTCCTTACCCGAACCCGAGGTCAAGTAAAGACACTACTGTCCTTTCCTATATCAATACATAATATACGTGTCATCCTAGGGTTTTTACAAAACAAGAAAGATCACAAATATGAAAGATGATAAAACAGTCCACTAACCCATTCAAACCTATGGAGGAACGTCGTCCGCTACTTCCTTCCCGTGACCTGAAAAATGTTAAAATGATGGGGTGAGCATAAAGCTCAGTAGGAAGCGTCTAAGACACACCTCTTACGACCCCATGAATCCATACAATGAATAGGATACGAGAGAACGGAATCATATTTCGGGAAAAACAAGCAAAACAACGGTAATATCAACAGATACATACGCAAGTCGTCCAATCACTAAGCGTGTAATGTGTGTCAATGAAATGCCATGCCATGCAATGTCGCTCCCCATTTCCGAAACACTACCGTTTCACATTCCAAACCGTTAGTGTAATCCGACCCAAGGCACCTCCAAGGCGTCATGAAAGGAAGATTGGCTAACCATCTTCGACCACTAGGCACCTCCAAGGCGTCGTATCTGGCCTAGTTAACTCAACCACGCTAGGGTCTCTCCTTAGTCCCCTCTAGACCACACTAACACCACGGACCACTAGGCATCTCCTAGGCGTCCGGTTTTTGCAAACATTTTTCAAAAACTTTTCCTAAAAACAATTTTCATTTGTTTTTAAAACAAACTTTTCCCTTTACTTTCCGAATGGCAATGCATGAATTATGCAATTTCTTCAATGCCATGACAATATAGAAATGTCATACATATCATCCACATCATTTAAGTATGTTTCAAACATGAATTTTCACATAATATCGCATTCTCATAATTCTGAATCATGGCATTTTACATACTTTAAATTCGCAAATCCAACAATTAAATTCTACACATTCCATCAACGCCATATTCACATTTTGAGAAGAAATTCTAAACATTTATTTTCACAACTAATAATCCTAAATTTACATATATAGCAATTGGCAAACATTTTACATACAACTTGTTATTATTGAACATGCTTTTTATCACAACAAATTAATTAAGTTCATAGGCTCAATTAACACACCACACCACTTATCATCATGACCACAACTAAATACAATCACTATATTTAAAATAACCAAAACTAAGCATGCTTATAACTAACTTTAGAAAGGAAAATTTACAAAGAATCGAAGAAATTGTGAATTAGAACACCCCTACTTCAATTTGAAGAAAAAGTCCCAAATTTGCCCAAAAATTTCAAAATTCCAACAGTGGCTAAACAGAGATTGGCTCCGATCAAAACGACGGCCTCGACGAGCTCTACAACTTTGCCCAAAGCGGTAATACCAAAATCTCAAAGACAAACTCGAGATCAAAGCTTGAAATTTGTGAAATGAAAAAAAAAAAAAAAAAGTGAGATGGATATGCGGGAGAGAGAGAGATGATAACTGATGATGGGTAATGGCCTTAAGGGCACTATAATTGGTTGAAAAATAGTACGTCACGCTTACTTTTAAAAATATCTTTTAACTTTGATATATTTTGTACATACACTATACCCACCATAATACATGTACAATCACATAACCACATAAAATACATCAATAATAATGTATAAAATGCAATGGACCCAAAATAAAATCCCCGTGCTCAATGACTCCAATAACGGGTCCTACCTGGAACCTTCATATCCGAAAAATAAAAAAAATGCCGAAATGGTAACCAATGTATTCCCAAGAGTTCTAAACTCAAGGAAATGTCCCAATCAACACTCTGACGCATTCAGCACACTTCACGGTGTCAGGCACACAAAACGAGAAAAGGCAAAAATTAAAAAAAAAAAAACATCAAAAAAATTCCAAAAATTAGAAAATGATAAAAATGAGAAGCATTACAATGTCATTGCTACTTTGAACCACATCCGACCTTACTAGTCATCAACAATGACTTCATAAGTGAATAAGCAAATGACACTCGATCTACCTTGAGATGCCTGGTTGGTTGGCTAAACTTATAAGAAAAAGTGGTATGTCATGTAGATTCATCTATGTAGAGAGAGAATTGTGTTTATAAAGAGTGACAAAACTTTGTTTGTGATCGGGAGAATGCTACATTAGCATTCTAATGGACATCTTAAAAAATTATTCCTAAAATTTTGACATTAATTTGCTAATTTAGAAGTTTAATGAATTTGCAAACTTTAAAAAATTAATTTGTAAATTTGGAGAGAGAGCTAACATACAAATTTATGTAAAATGTAAAAAGGTATAATTGTTTGTATTTGAAAATCTTTATGGGGTAAATGAGTCCTTTCAAGTGTTAAATTTAGACGCGTCTTTCACCAAATCACAAGACAAAAATGACATTTCAAATATTGTCAACTAACAACACGTCAAATATTTGGATGTCAATGTAAATTGTCATAAATTTTGGATCTGCAAGGAAATAGACCCTAGCTCAAGGGTGTCATTATAATTTACCAAAATTAATCCCATCTAAGTACAAATAACACCTTCACACACAGACAACCCTTCTCATACACATAATCCACCCAAAGGCTCAAACCCAATTTTAAAGTAAGAGATCAGTGAGTGATGGCAAACGAAGCAGAAAATAGTGATGTTTCGCTAGTGAAATCCATAGCGGAAAAAGTCCGCGGCTGTGAAATTGATAGAATCCAACAACCGCAAACAATCCACACCGTGGACAGGGTCCCGGCCGTGTTTCGAGAGCAAAACCAAAACGCGTATACCCCTACCATTGTATCTATTGGCCCTGTTCACAGAGGGGCAACACATCTTAAAGCAATGGAGCCTGTCAAGTTGAGCTACACCCGTGCCCTATTTAACAGAACCGGAGCAGCATTTGAGGATACACTGAGAACTTGTGTGGCCAAGCTGTTGAACGACGAATTAGAATTTCTAAAGAGTTTTTATGTGTCATCCGGGTTAAAGGACAGTGGCAGCCTTGCGGAAGTGATACTTATTGATGGCTGCTTCATAATTGAACTCCTCAAGAGGTTCGTCTATTTATACCCCAAATATGATCCTATTTTGTCCGACCCTTACAAGCTCTATGCGGTCACTCGTGACTTGCTATTGCTTGAGAATCAGATTCCTTTCCGTATTCTTACAATTTTGTTCAACACGTTGGGATCAGGGCACCCAATTTTAATAATGACCTATTCAACATAAAGTTTAGTAAAGCTTGTAGTTGGAGTAGCTGTTGTTCTTTGTTCAAAAAAGGTCACATGGAAATTCCACCTTTCCGTATTGATGATTCCACGGAGATATTTTTGAGAAACGTCATTGCTTTCGAGCTAAGTTGCCCCGAAATTCCTAGTTACTTCACATCATTTGCGTTCCTCATGGATCTCCTCATCAACACCGCAGAAGATGTTAAATTGTTTGAGGAAGCAGGAATCATAAGAAATTATTTAGATTCCAGAGAAGAAGTTACCCAACTCTTCAATGGTATTTGCAAGAATGCCATTTCAGTTGACTTCTTCCATTACAGTAGCCAGTACCACGAGGCGATGGATTTCTGCACGCCTTGGCGAGTTTCTACTGGAAGGCTCAAACATCATTATTTTGGTAGTCCATGGGCGGGCATGTCAGTCATTGCCGGCCTCTTCCTTTTCGTCCTCACGTTTTTATCCACCATATACACCATGCTTTCTTATTTTGTTGGTGATACAGGGTCAGGCTTGCCCTAATGCGGATATCTCATAAATCTGCCTTTGTTCCTACCAATCTGTCCCATAGATGCAAGTAATTTGGAATGTCTGTGTATCCTACTAGAGTCTGTAAGAGCATATCTGAATTAGCTGTGTACCTATTTATCATCATTATGGTTTGTCATTTACATAAGCTTTGTTGTTGTTCATGTATGTTGTTGTTCATGTATGGTTCGATCTCTTAATAAAAGTGTTTGTTTACCCACTATAATATTTGTAAGAGCATATATGAATTACTGAAACTTCGTCAATATATTTGTTCAAGCGCAATCTTCTAATTCTATTAGTCAAGGTCTTTGATAATCTGACTTTGATATTTCAGGTCCTCATTTGATTGATTAATTTTTTTGAACTTCTTTCTTACATTTTCCGAAGTTAGAGAAGAAGAAGAAGATAGACAAAGAAATAAACCCTACTTAAACTCAATCTCCTTATTTATTCTCACAATGATCTGGATAACAGGATAAGTTATTTCAAATTCTCTAATAGATGAACAGCCTATAGATTTCGAGATCTTAGATATTTTGGGATTAGGTTTTAGGTTTATGTCAATGTCTCACATTTACTTGCCACCTGTATAGCCACATTTCTAGTTTTCTTTTTGTTGCCTAGTCAGACCGAACAAGGATCCTCTACAGCGTAGGAGAGGTTCAGTATAGAATTCAGTAGTTGAAATTAGAATTCAGTGGTTGAGATTGAATTGATACAACTACTAAATTTTGTGATGGACCTCTCCTGAAGAGGATATTTGTCCAGACGCTCATTGTATGAAAGACAAATCCATACTCTCTCCATTAGAATTTGTGATAAAATCTCCATGTGCAAATAATTTTTAATAAGCACCATAAAGTTATAGCTATAATAATGAGAAAATATTTGACTTGAGCCTACAAGTCGAGTTTGATACTTTGATGTGTTAAGTCTAGCTATGGTAAACCTAGTTGGGAGTTGTTGGATAGGTTATAAGTGGATTAAACCTAGTTGGGAGTTGTTGGATAGGTTATAAGTGGATTTTCAAAAGGAAGATGATGCCTGAGAAATACAAATTCAGACTTGCTCTTAAAAGATACAAGTATAAGGAATGTTTAGATTGTTTTGAAACATATTAATCGGTTACAAGAATAAGATACATTACATTACTAATTGCAATTACAACTTTGCATAATTTAGAAATGCATCAAATGAATGATAAGACTGCTTTCTTATATATTGATTTAGATGGCAAAATATTTACGGAACAACCAGAAGCATTCATTGCTTAAGACAAGAAAAAAAGAAAGTGTGCCAGGCTTGTAAAATTCCTTTTTGGATTAAAGCAAACACCGCAAGAATAGCATGAAAATATTGACAAAGTAATGACGTCAAATGACTTCAAAATGAGTGTAGTAAATGTATTTATACAAATTAAAAGTGCTCAAAATAGATATATCATTGTATCCCTTTGCGGGGGAAGATTTGCTAATGATAAATAAGATTTCTTAAGTTTGAGTACATACTTAATATTAAAGATTCAAAGGGAAGAGAAAATGGGAACGCTTGGTAATGTAACACATGAATCAATGATGAAAATGTTGCCCGTCACATAACGTGAAGAGTCATGGATCAAGTATCGTACTAGCGAAGTCAATGCTGGGTTTGTTGTGCCCAAAGTTCTTAAAGGAGCAACTTTCGAAACTACATTGTTGGGCCAGTCCTTTTGCATGAGATCCTCTGTGATCTCAGATCGGAAAAATCCTGGTGCTATTGAGTTCACTCTGATTTTGTGGCACGCCAATTCTAAGGCCATGACCTATTATATCATTGGTAGTTGAATAAGTTAACTAATTTCATTCTAAGATACTAAATTCAGAAAAGTTTTTTACTGGAACCCCAATTACTTGGAAAAAGAAAAACATGACACTAGTACATACTAAGAAAAGAACATGTCAAACAACCAACACTTAAAAAACACATGAATGGATATTCTGTTGCAGTGAATATTATGTCGTGAGGTTTCAAGTACCGCGACTATGGGCCTTTTGCAATAAGCGTCATTGTCCAATTTTTTATTAAAAAACTCTCTCCAACTATCCCAAAATAAAAGATTGGATGTGTGGTAACTCGAATTTTTTTAAAATTTTAATTTAAATTGTTTCATGATTTTTATTTGTTAAGACTGATTATTTAATCTTGATTTGATGATTTATTCAATTAGAAGTTTAATGGTTTGAATTGGTTTTAATATATATATATATATATATATATATATATATATATATGTTTGTTTGTGCTGTGGGATGTTTCATGGCAGCCGCGGAAGTGGAAAGAAATGAAAGAAAAAAAAATTAATAATGTTTTGGCGGGTCCTACTTGACGTAAAAGAGGTTTAATAGGTTTGATTGGGTCATTATGTTCTTTTGTGTATAGATATATATATATATAGCAGCTAATGCATGAATGAAAAGGGGACCAGCCGATATGAGGATAGAAAAAGAAGAAAGAAATGGTTATGGTATTATGGGTCCCACTTGGCTTTGATTTTTGTTGTACATATATATATATATAGATGCAGTGTATGTGTATTGTGTGGTGTCGACAATAGCAAGAAGCAGAGAGAAAATTGTGACGACGGTGGCGTGTACTTGTGGGACCCAGTGAAGGTTTTGTTTTGCCTTTCATTTCTTCACGTGGGCTAATTTGTTTTGATAATGATGAAGATAGAAATTATAGGTTTTGGCTGACCCACTTTTTGCAACTTTTGTTACTCTATGTTGACTTGTTGGCTGATTTTTTTGTGAGGTCGTGGATTTGCATCATATATTTGGCCATTGTGTGGACTAAGTATACAAAGACACTACAATAATAATATAAAAATGTTGGTGAAAGTCTAAAAATAATATTTCAATTATCAGTGTTTTACTCAAAAAGCGCTAATAATTCTTGCATCGGTAAGTCTTTACCAACGCTTTCTTAAAAACGCGGACAAATACCCTATACCAGTGTTTTTTTAAGAAACACCGATAAAGGATCATTTTATACCGCTGGTAAAACATCATTTTATATATATATTTTTTCCTCATTACCAACGATTCTTCAAAAAACGCTAGTAAAGGGCCATTTTATATATATATATATATATATATATATATATATATATATATATATATATATTTTATAAATAACCTATTGTTTGCTACCTTTATATTTGTTTAATGAACATTTGTTTACTGCCAATATGTATATGTGACTGGAATAGATGCAAATTAGACCATATGATCGACTATATATTGCAACTCTTATAAAGCATACAACTCCTTAGATCGCAACCAACACGTACAACTCCCTAATTCACAAGAAACAAATACAACTCCATAATTCCACCTTCAAACATTCATAAAGCATACACAGTCAGCCTTCTTGAACAAGTGGTAAAAAGTGAATGATTAAAATGACTCATAATTTTTATAAATAATGGTAAAAAGTTCATGAATCCAATATTTTCAAAAGCACGCCTTATAGAACAAGTGGATCATATGGCGTTGATAGAATAGCCTCAGAGAACCGAGGGTTGCACCATTGGCGAAGGCCTCCCTGTTTGCTCGAGTATAAGTGATCAGGAGGAAAACTCTCGAAGTGCTCACAGTCATCATTCAAACCTTTCAGTTCCGATGAAATCCAAACTGAGCCTAAAGATAAACAGGACAAGTATAAACCAGTTTCAATTTAAGTCCTAAATAATAATTAAAAAAATTAACACATTCAACTCACAACATGATCTAATGAAACATTACCATCAAGTCCCCAACCAATATAGAGAGAAGTGATCCCAATGGCATCATGAGCAACAATGAAGTAAGGGAAATTTTGTGCAGCTGATGGGACCAATTCTTCTTAACCTGACAGTTAGTAGAAGTCCAAGCAATAATATCATTCAAATTTGTCATGCCATGCCAGTTGAGAGAAATTGCATCAGCCACTAAATTCCAAACTTTATGGGAAAAAGAACAATTAAAGATCAAATGTTGTGGAAATAGGCAACTTGATATCTCAAACTCTTACACCTCTTGGATCAGGTGTGGAGTACAAGTCTATAAGGGCTCTGCAGTTATTAAGGGCCAATAATTTCAAAAATTTACTATTAGTTCTGCTATTAGAATCATTTATATTCTTATACAAATATAAACAAATGAAACTCCATAGTTTATCCGCCAACCTACATAGTTTAAAACTTCAGGGATATTTCAAATTAAAGGAATAAATGGTTTCACATCCAAAAGCCCATGAAAAAATCTTGTCCTGAACGACCATGTACCAATGTCAAAGACAACAAAACAAAATTTTCGGATCAGGCAAATTGATAACAACAATATGTCAAGCCATTGTAATATGAAATATTTCCCATGATACTAAGTAAGCAGCAATGAAATAAATATAGTCAAGGTCAGATTATCAAGCCACAACAACAAATCTAAAGTAGTTAAAATAAGAAGTCGCAATCAAAAGATATTCCACAGGCAAGATTTCAGAGTAGGATAAGAAAGATAGAACTACAAACTCATGATTCCTTATAAGAGCAAAACGTTAAGCAGGGATGGAGATGAGGACTTTCAAGCTACTTTACAGTTACACAATATGATTTTACCCCTAACATGACTAAAAAACTGGCATCTTCAATTGCTTAAGTTCTTAAACCAACACCTTGTGCTAAATTCAGAATAGCACACCATGAAAACATCATTTATAATGGGATAAAAACAGTTGGAAGAACCCCAAGTTGTAATGTATGACCACATTTGATCTTTCACTCCATCTAAACAACCAAGCTAGATATTATATTTTTTGTAACTTTAAGAAAAAAGTTAAATTCACCAAACAGGGGAAGAAGAGAAAGAGATCTAATAAATTTTAGATTTCAACAAAAAAAAAAAAAAAAAAAAAAGAGATCTCATTAAAGACTAATTAGGCTAGTTAATCAATTTTAATCAAACATTTTAATAAATATAACACCATGAGGAAAAAAATGAAACATTTATGGGAATTGTACAATTCCAATGTTCCAACATATTAAGTAAACCAACAATAACCTAAGATCCAGCAAAATTAATCATAATAGTTGCAAACTACTACTACTACTACTAAAAAAAAAAAAAAAAGACACGCTGGTGATTACCTAATTTGTTGTAGTGATCCTTTTTTCTCCTTCATATTGAATATAGTCTAATTATGTAGACTATATAAGATGATATCTATATATATGTTCCTTAATGGTAATATATATGTTCCTTAATGGTAATAAGGTTGTCTCGTTTATGACATTCTTGCATCATGTCGGGCCCAGTCTCTTCTTCGGCGGTGGTTGGGATGATTTTGAAGTTGAAACTTTGGTATTTTCTTCACTCACTTTTTCTACTTCACTAACTGTTCGTTTCATTGTCAGCTTATTATTTATCCTTCCTAGAAAAGCAAACAAAAAAGTGAGAATTCATTTAAGAGAATGCAATCAATTTGTTAAAAAAAGGCGGTGCACAATCTAGGTAAAACCAATAAAAAGAAATAACAAATACCTCAAAACTTTAGGGTGTTTTTGGTTGTCCAATGGAAATTATATAAAACCATTTATTTTAATCTTTTACCTGGGGAATTAAGTTTCCAAACATATACAAACTAAACCATTTATTTTAACCCCTTGGCACAATCCAACAAACATATACAAAACAAAAAAGAAACCAACTAATATTACCTGGGGAATTAAGTTTCCACACTGACATAAAGAGATCAATATATATATATATATATATATATATATATATTGACCAAGCAATCTAGATTATATTTTTATGCACAAATAAAAATAATCAAAACACATAGTGCGGCAAACGTATCCAAACTAAAAAAGAAAAAGGGAAGAAAACAAGTAATATTACGTACCTGGGCAATTTAGTTTCTATAAAAGAAGTTATGTAATGTTGTCACCAGCACCAAGCAATAATTGGTGTCAAAACAATCAGAATGTATGATCAGCTGTATATATAAAAGATCATATGTACGTGCAATTAATTAGTCCCCTTGGCAAAGAAGAATAAGGTACTTATAAATCTACTAAATGAAGCAAGTTTCTAACCTTCAGTATTAACGAACCTTTTCTTTGATGATGATCCAGCAATCAGTCCTCTTGTTATGCAAGGAAACTTCAGCCTTAGCATATGTTTTGGATGCCTAAGTGCAAAAAAAGAACATGAGGAAAACAATACTGAAGTCTGGAAACAAGAAAATAGAGAAGATCGGTATGAATGATATACTCGTCAAATTGATCACCAGAACGACAAAAAAATTATACTAATATGAAGAAAAAAATCCATTTCATTATAATATATATAGTGATCAAAGTTCGATGTAGCACTGTCCTGGAGCTGCAAGCAGGGGGCTGTATAACAAGATGAACAATGTCAAATCATTATACTTTGGCCTTCTATAGCACAAAAATGAACCAAACTCTAAAATTTCGGGCATTTTGACATGCATTCATTATTAAAATATGTAATCAAATGACAATGCTGATACTAAATCATTCTTAAAATGTTCCTTTTGAGTGCAGTTTCTTAGTTTTTGGCTAACTGGAAACGTCAACGTCAATGTCAACGGTGTCTTTACTGTGCAGAAATCACAACTACTACTGGACACTCCTTTTTGCTTTTGGAATGGATTTGGGGCTTACTCTGACAGTCCCAACTACTACTCATCAATGCTGATCCTTTCTACTTTTCCAACATACATAAGTAGACACTACTTTTCTGGTTATAAACAAGTAATTAAATATCTTATATATGCCTTCATTTCCAATTTTCCTTTGGAAAGAAATGTCATAAACCAATAATCAAGTTAGCATACACAAAGTCAGTCCTGTTAAAAGTACACACTGCAAATTAAAAAGATAGCCTTTTGCAAGCTATAACAGTTCTTCGAATCCCTCTTCTCAAGTATGAAGCCAAAAATACGTATGTATATAACTACATCTATACATTTACTGCTCTTGTTTATTCCTCCAAGTAAATAACTGAGATGCAAAACCAGTAAAATGTAAATAAATAAATAAAAAAGAAAAGAAAAAAGAATAAAATATATGAACTTCATGTTAACAAATATACCTTATTGTTACCAATTGATTGGCCCTTTTTGCTCTGGTCTGCATTGTACAGATTTCCATAAAACAAGCATTGCAAAGGTCAGACTTTATAAATAATATAAAATATCTGTGTTTTTTGGATTTATAAAGCCAGAGGTTATAGGGTTTTCTTCGATCATTGAAAAGGCAAGAGGGAGAAACAGAAAGAAAGAGGCCGGTTAGGGTTTTCTTGAATCAGAGAAAGGTAAAGAGAGAGGTTAGGGCTAGGTACGTTTGATGGATTAGATAGAGATTAAGGCTTGCAATTAGATAAGAGAAATAGTATATTGAAATAGTGAAAGGGCCAGAGAGAGATAATTAGAGTTATTACCTGCCACAGGAAAATTGTCGTCGCCAACAATCGCCTACAACAAAACTAATGGAAGGAGAGAGAGCTGTGATGACCGGTGATGGAAGGAGAAAGAGCTGTAATGGAAAACAAAACGGATTCAAAGATTGGGCGAGACCAGTGATAGAAGGAGAGAGAATGGCTGAAGGAGAGAGAGCCTTAGGGCTAAATGAAATGGGAAATGAAATGGGAAAGTGTTTTACAGTGTTAATTGGCCCCAAAAAAATGACGTAGTTTAGGGCCCAGGGCCCAAATAGTCAAATGTATATAAATCAGCAGAGGGAAAAAATAGAGGAAAGGGAAAAAAATGGATGGAATGGAAGGACCTATACCAACGCTCTTAAAAAAAGAGTGCTGGTAAAAGGACCTATTCGACCTATACTCTACTATTTCACTTATACCAGCGTTCTTCTAAAGAGTGTTGGTAAAAGCCTAATATGTTGTATTAGAAACGAAGAGAAAAAAAGTTAGAGAAATAAAGAGGAGAGCAATTAGAGAGAGAAATAGAGAGAGGGCCGAGAGTTTAAGAAACAGAGAGGGCTAGGAGTTGCAGAGGAGGCTGAAGGCTTGAGGCTTTGATGATTCAGTGAGAAAATTTCTTTTTCAGGGTAGGGGTTCTTAATTCACAAAACTTCTTATTCTTTTGTGAATTTTTCTTCTTGATTTGTTGTCTAGCATGCTAATTTATGTTAAATTTCCTCTAAAATGATTAAATTGATGTAATTAAAGTATGTGGTTATGTGTTTAGTTGAAATTACATGATATATCATGCTTGTATGAATTTAATTTCATGTTTATATGCTTATTATGCTAGATTCTTGTTGAATGAAAACATGTTGTAAATTCTTTGGAAATTCTTGCAAGTATGTTAAGTGATTTAGACTTAAATTGAATGTATGACAAAGAGTATTGGCATCGTATGAAATGGCATAATGCATTCATGCATAAGTATTGGAAAGAAAATAGGAAATTGTTTTTGAAAGAAATAAAAGAAAATATTTTGGAAAAGGTTTTGATGAAAAGTTTGCGAAAACCCGGTCGTCTAGGAGATTGCCTATGGGTACGTGGGGTTAATGTGACCTAGAGAAAACTTGGGAGACTGCCCTAGCATGGTTAAGTTAACTGGGCTCCAAATGATGCCCTGGAGCTTGCCTTGTGGTCAAGGACAGTTAGTCAATCCTTCTCTCGTGCCGCCATAGAGCTGCCGGCTATGGCTTATTTAACCTTGTTATATAAAAAATGTTGAGAATTCTTGAAGATGCCTTACTTGAGAAAATGATGTCTTTGTTGTGTTGATCTTTTAAGAATGCCATGGATTTTAATTGACTTTTATAAGATGAGTTGATGATATTGTTAGTGCAATAGTGATGAACTTGTGATTTAAGGTTGAAAATCATTACATTGCATACCATGGCATAGAAAGGGGATTGAAAGGAAATTCGAAAGGAAAGTTTGTTTTCTTAAAAAGTGGATCATTTCTTTTAAGGAAGGGAAATGTTTTTTTTTTTTTTTTTTTAAATGAACCGAATTTTGAGAGTCCGAGGCTAGCTTAACCTAGAGTGAGTGCGGTCCAGTGTAGGGAATGAAAATGTTGATACTAGGCCCTTTAACGGTTGTCAAGATTTGCCAGAATTGAAACCGGAGATAGTTATCAATCTCACCCCGATAAAGTCAGTTAGCGGGTTTTCAAAAAGTGAAAGATGGGTCGGTATAGACCAGGTTTGGGATAGGTGCATCATATTTCATATCATACACATCATTTTGTTAAAATCATGTTATGTGCTGAGTTTGTTGCCTATAAGTTGTAAATGTTGTGTGGACTCCCATTGCATGACCCCGATTCCTTTTTATTCCTTTATGTGTTACGTGGCTCAAGGGAGTCCAAAACTAATACCTTAGGCGACTTCTACTGAGCTTTATGCTCACCCTTTATCTTTAACATTTTCAGGACATGGAAAAGAAACAGCGGACGACAATCCACCTCTAGCTTAGTCAAGTTGCAAGGGACTTAGGCATTTTGTTTGGGATCAATGTGTATATTATTTTTTGTTGTAAATCATGTTAAGTGATATTTTTGTATCTAATTCTTGGTTGGAAATGGTTCTGAGACCATCCTCATGTATCTCATGGTCTCATTGTGATTTCAATATCCATGTAAGGTCTCAAGGCCATATTTTGATGTATTAAGGGCTTATTTAAGTTTAGACAATATAGTGGACTCG